TTTGTCTTTTTGAGACAGGGTTTCACTATGCAGTTCAGGCTGGCCTTGAACTCACTTTGTAGCTCAGGCTGGCCTTGAACTCCCAACCATCCTCCTGCCTCAGCCTCCCAAGTGCTGGGATTATAGGCGAGCGCCACCACGAGGCTCTGTGTTTCTATTGTACTAGAGATTGAGCCCCAGAGCTTGAGCCCCAGGGACCTCAGAGGTAATTTTTATTTATTTATTTGAGATAAGATCTCACTATATAGTCCAGGCTAGGTTTGAATTTACTAGGTAGCCCCAGGCTGCCTCTAACGTGCAATCCTCCTGCCTCAGCCTCCAGCATAGCTGGAATTACAGGGGTGCGTCACCACACGCAGCCTCCTAGTGCTTTTTGCCCACTCTTTTTTCCCCCCCAGCCTCAGCTTTGGAGCCATGCGCTGGCTCTCAGGTTCCTTCCTGCCCCCTGCAATCCGTCCCTCCAGTCAGCAGCACACCTGGAGCACCTGTAGACAAGAAAGCCAAGGTCTCCTCTGGGGGCTGCCAATGGGGCTCCTCTTGCCTGCTCCCAGACAGGAAGGACATGGATGGCCACAGGGCCGGGGCCAGTCTCCCTGGTCTCCGGAAATGCCACCTGAAGGGGCGTAGCACTAGCTTCCTTCCTTTCCTGTGGGGAAGAGGAAAAGTCCCCCGCCACAGGGCTTTCTCCTCACTCCTCCAGGGCGTGGGGTGGGGACAGCTGCAGCAGGGAAGGAAGCAGATTCGAGGAACCCCTTCTGGCAGCAGGGCTTCCCTGGGGCGGTTTGGACAACCTGGAGAAGGCCTGGCACCCCAAAGCCTGGGAGGTGAGGCCCTGCTCAGCAGCTCCTGGCTCAGCGGGCACTTGGATGTCTTAGTAGCCAAGGAGATCCCGGGAGAAATGGAGCCTGAGAGGCTCCTTCCAGCAGGCCTGGGAGTGGTGGACCCAGAGGTATGAGGTACTTGTTACTTCTCTTCTTGTCCCTCCACCACCTTGGTGTCCTGGAACTGGGTACTTCTTTCTGGAGTGAGGCTTGTTTTCAAATTTAAGGGTAGCACCTGAAGGCAGACATAGTGGCACGAGCCTTTATTCCCAGCACTCTGGGAGGCTGAGGCAGGAGGACTGCAGGTTTGAGCCTAGTCTGGACAATTTAGTGACTTGGAAAGACCCTGTCTCAAAATAAAAAATGAAAAAAGTACTGGGCCCCATTAAGTATCTTCCTGAAAGAATTAGATATCATATTATAGTGATCCACGCATACCCATGTCTATCTCAGCACAATTCATAATGGCTAAATCTTGGAAGTATTCTATATGTCTATCAACAGATGAATGAATAGAGTTCTACTCTGACATGAAAAAGATAAAACTTGAGTAATTTGTAGGAAAATGGATGCACCTTGAGACTGTAATGGTTTTGGTTTTGGTTTTGGTTTTTGAGAAGGGTCACAATTTGTAGTGTAGGGTGGCCTTGAACTCACTATGTATTCTAGGCTGGCCTTGAACTTGCAGCGATCCTCCTGCCTCAGCCTCCTGAGTGGTGGGATTACAAGTGTGTGCCACCATGCCTGACCAGACTCTAATGTCAAGTGAAATAAATAAGACACACAAGCTTAAATACTGCATGATTTCTCTTACATGAGAATCCCAGAGTAAAAATAAAGAGCAAAACAGAAAATAGACAACAGAAGTAGGGAGATTACTCTCAGCAGGGAAAGGGATCAAGAGATGGAGGGCGGGAAGGCAGGAGAATAAAGGATGAAAGAAAAGGAATTAGGATGTGTTAGATACATGTGCCGGCTCCACACAAGAAACGTAAACATTCCGTACCGCAAACACGTACTAAGCAAAGAAAAGGAAAAAAAAAAAAAAAAAAAAAGAGCTGGGGAGGTGGCTCGGTGTGAAGGCCTCGGATTCAATCCTCAGGACCACCAAAAACAAAACAAAACAAACCCAGAAAAACACCCTTTGGGAGAGAGGGCTGGAGCGGAGCTTGGTGAGCTTTGAATCTTCTCTCTGCTCCCGTGCCGTGTGACGTCAGGGTGGCCCCTACTCCTCCAGCGGGGCTCAGAGGGAGAGAGCACGGCCCTTCCTCCCTCGGACCTGTTCCCCTCCTCCTTAGCCTCCTGCCTCCTCTCCCTCCACTCACTGCTCAGCCCTCAGGGCGCGACTCCAAGGCTGTTTCCTTCGGTCTCTGGATCTCCCCATTGCTACAGTGCCCGCGTGCCTCTGATTGCCCAAACCCCCTGCATGAAGTTTCTCTTGTGGCGTTTGGCATGCTCTAGCAAGTTATTTAGTCATGTGTCACTTACGCGCTAGGTTGTGTACACACACACGATACATGCATGAATGCTTGTGCATGAATGTGCGCACGCACACGCCTTCACTCACCTTTCCACTAGAATGTAAATTCCTCGAGGACAGGAAGGGTATCCTTTTTTGTTTGTTTGTTTTGTTTTTTTCCGGTACCGGGAATCGAACTCACGACCTCGCTCTTGCCAGGAAAGCGCTGTGCCGCTGAGCTAAATCCCCAGCCCCTTCTTTTTGTTTTGTTTTGTTGTTGTGCAGCCTCTCTAAGGTTCTTTTGTTTGTTTGTTTGTTTGTTTGTTTTGGTACTGGGAATCGAACTCATGACCTCAGGCTTGCCAGGCAAGTGCTTAAGCTGCTGAGCTACATCCCCGGCCCAAGCCTCTGTATGTTGATCACAGAGATCTGCGTGCTTCCTATTTATCTTTTTTTTTTTTTTTTTGGTATCGGGAATCGAACTCATGACCTCAGGCTTGCCAGGCAAGCACTTATGCCACTGAGCTACATCCCCAGCCCCCTATTATCTATCTTGTGAGCTCATGTGATCCTCCTGCCTCAGTAGCTTGGACTACAGGCATGCACCACTGCACCCAGTAGGAACAGTGTGTGCTTCTCTTTGCTCGGCTTTCTGCCAAAGCATGAAGATCTCTTTATGTACCAGAAGGAACACTGGACTGGGAGGCAGGAAATCCAAGCTCTAGACCTGACTCTGTGGGCAGCTCACCGTGGGACCCTGAGCCAGCCGTTCCCAGGCCTGGGCCCAGTAACAACACGAGCAGTGCTCTGCGGCCTGGCTGATTGTGACCCGCTTCCCGTTCCAAGGTTCTAAGAACTCTGCTGGCCTTCTCTTCCCAATCCAGGCTGGCCCGCGGGTACTGCCCATGAACGGAGCCGCCCCACAGCTGTTCCTGGAAGGCGGAGCCCCGGAGCCCCAGAGCCGCACTCGCCGCTGCCTGTCAGCTATCGAATCTACAAAACAGCTGGAGGAAGAGGAGGAAGAGGACGAGGAGGAGGAAGAGGAGAGGGAGGAAAATCAGGAAAAGGGGAATAGCTTCCATGCTGTACCTCTTCGAAGGGCTGGGGCTTTCCGTGCCCACAGCCACACCCATGACCCCTTCAAAAGACATAGCTGGGGGCCTGGCCGGGAGTTCCAGGACCCACTGAGCAGGTAAGCCCCAGGGATCTCCTGTTCTTCTCTCCTCCCATGCCGGGACCCTGGAATAAGTTGTTGAGAAGAATATTACAGTGTCCTCACAGTGGTCTCCCTAGAGATCTCCCTATAATCTCAGCACTCAGGAGGCTGAGGCAAGAAGATCTTGATTTTCAGGCCAGTCTAGGCTATATATGGAATTCAAGGCTAGCCTGGACTACACATCAAGACCTTGTCACAAACAATGACAGGGATTGAGGAGACTTGGGCTTCTAGTCCTTCCCCTGGAGAATTGTTTTTGGGTTTTTGGTGGGTTTTTTCCTCTTTTTAAAAATTAGGTTTATTAGTATATTTTAGGTATACATAATGATTGCATTCATCATAGGGAATTTGTACCTGTACATGATATAACTTAATTCTTTCCCCCATTCTCCTCCCTTCCCTTCAACCCCTGGTTTTTTGAGACAAAGTCTTGCTATGTAGTTCAGGCTGTCCTTGAATTTACCCTGTAGCTCAGGCTGACCTCTAACTCATACTGATCCTCCAGCCTCAGCCTCCCAAATGCTGGGATCACAGGTGTGCGTCATCTGCTCAGCTCTTCCCCTGGAGAATTAGAACCCACACTATTATAAGCCTTGGGGAGGAGGGACCCTGCCTTCCAAGCACCTAGTGTATTTTTGTTGGTGATGGTAGTGGTAGCAGGAATCGAACTCGCAACCTCAAGCTTGCCAGGCAGGCACAGTGCTGCTGAGCTATATCCCCGGCCTGGACCCTGCCTTCAAAAACGTGGCTGTCCCCAGTGCCCCTAGCTCTCTCTTTTTACCTGATGTCAAGAGCAGATTGTGGGAGTGGGAATGTAAAGCTGGGATAAGTTACAGGACTTTTTTTTTTTTTTTTTTTTGCATTACTGGGAATTGAATCCAGGATTTTTTATATCACCAGGCTTTTTTATTTTTTATTTTGAAACAAGGTCAGGCTGTTACCCACACTGAGCTTGAAATTGGGATCCTCCTGCCTCGGTTTCCAGAGTGCAGGGATTACAGGCTTGAGCTACCACACCTGGCTGACACTTAGCCCCTATTGCTCCACCTCCTGTTCTGGGTGCGTTAGAACCATAGAACCGTGTCAGAGGTGGAGGGAACTCAGAGACCGTATGACCCATCCTCCTCATTTTAGAGAAGAGAAAACAGACCAGAGAACTTTAGGACGTTTCATGGGTGGGATGGGCTCAGGGTGGATCACCGGATGTGCCCCGGTCCGATTCCTCCCACCTGCTGCTTCCAGGCTGAGGCCATCCAAGAGGTCTCAGGCTAACGGGGTGCCGTGCTGCCATGGGGGGCTGCAATTCGCTTTCAGAGTTGTGCATACGCTTTGGCCCATTTCTTCCCCCTGCCCTGGAAAATCCCTGACCACTTCCCCAAAGACAGAGGAAGTCAGAAAGAGAAGGTGCAGGGGCCCTTGTGCAGAGCTCAGTCTGAGCAGTCCTTGCAGGGGCCCGCTGGCCGTGGAAGGGCACTGTTGCTCTGCTTTGATGATGGTGCCCGAGGACAAGTCCCCTTAGGTCTGGTGAGTGCAGCGATGTCCTCTGGCTGCTGGGCATGCCCGCTGGGCTGAGTGGGGGGAGAGGACCCTGCACCTTGTTCCACAACTGGCTTGGGTGGGAACTCCGGCAAGAAGTAACGCCTACAAGCTCATGGCACCCACCTATGAGCAGCAGGAATGCCCTAGTACCCTATGCATGGTGCCACCTGCTTCTTAAGGGCTTCGTGTCACCCACCTTTCAGGATCAGACATCAGTTCTGTGCCTTGGGTTGAGAGGAAAAGAACCCTTAATTCGCTGCTTAGCTGAGTAAGGGCAGAAGAAAGACTGCAAACCAGGCAGAGCGAAAATCCAGCCAGCCTTTCCTCTCGTGCAACAGGGCCAGGTCTTCCCGGGAGCAGTACCCACTTTGGCCAGCAGGGGTCAGCCTTGCCTACAACCAACTCTGCCCTCTGTTGCCGCAGAGCCCCAAAGGGAGGCCAGTTTGAGTCTAGGCTGTGCCCAGGCAACAGGAAAGGCTGGGCCGGGTGGGGGGCACCCAGCAGGGCTGGGCCGAGGCGGGTTCCTCCTGGTGCCCATCACTGGCCACAGGCTACAGAGGGTAGTGGTGGCCATGTGTGTTTCAGGAGGCTGCAGTCATCGGGATGCCCAGGCCCCGAGGGAGCCTGCTCACTGCAGAGCCAAGAGGAGCTGAACACCCTCCTGGGACCACAGCAGCAGGGCGGCCAGCCCTCCCGCCTGGTATGACAGACAGGTCCCACACGGGCCGCGGCCTCTCCTCCACGCCCGCCTGGCCTGCCGCTGCCCTGTGCCTCTCCCGTCCTGCCAGCTTTTGGGTCCCTGCCCAGTGTCACCCTGACTCCATTTTTGCCCTCTGCCCACCCTCTGCTTCCCTGGTCTGTGTGCTCTGTCCCTGACTGAATCTCTGTCCCTGTCCCTGTCCCTGTCCCTGTCTCTGACTCTAAGACTCTCTGTTCCTTCCTTTCTGTGTCTGTGTCTCTGTGCTGTGGGTGGTCTCTGTTCCTCTCTCCTTAAAAAAAGCCCCTGTTCCCCTCACTGAGAACCACGTCTGTCTGTGGGCCCCAAGTTCCCCCACGCGGAGTTGCACTTGCTGGGATGAATCTCCGTTCTCTGAAAGAACCGCCAGTTCTTTAACAAGAGCACTATGGCAGCATTGACTGAGCAAGGACAGAGAGGCTGCCCGGCTTCCAGCGCGGGCCCAGGGCGGGGATGTGCGGTGTCTCAAACCAGGACCTGCGAACGTGGGCTCGGCTGACAGCGCCGGGTGTGCTGAAGTCCCTGCCTATGTGGGATTCACCCCAGCAACTGCAGGTTGACTCCCCTGCAGCTCAGCCTGGGCCCGGAAAGCCCAAGCACAGCCTCATTACTGGGAGCGAGGCCAGGAGAAAGGGGCTGTCAGGAAGCAGCAAGAACACACTCTTATCCCACCTGCTTTTCTCCATCTAAATCTGTGTGTGTGTCCCTCCCCGACCAACACACACACACACATGCGCACACATGCATATGCGTACACAGACACACACACACACTTTAAGGGGACAGAGTAGAAAGAACAGGATTTTGAGCAGGGCATGGTGGTGCAGAAGGATCACAAGTGGTGCAGGGTCTCACTAGACCCTTAGTGAGACCCTGTCTCAAAATAAAATATAAAAAAGGGTTATGGATGTAGGTTAATATGAAGGCCCTAAGTTCAATTTCTAGTACTGAGAAAAGAAAAAAAAATTTTTTTAAAAAGGATTTTTGAGTCAGACTGACATCTAGAACATTTATTTACCAGCTTAGCAGTTTATCTCTCTGAAAATCAGAATAATAAGACCATGGGTCCTTTATTTGGTTTCTTGAGATGAGATCTTGCTACGTTGCCCAGGCTGGTCTCAAACTCCTGTGCTCACCTGATCTTCTTGCCTCAGCCTCCTGTATGCTGGGATTACGGGGGTTTACCACCATACCTGGCTCTAAAGCTTTTTTGTTTTGTTTTTACTGTGTAGTTCAGGCTGATCTTGAATTTACTGTGTAGCCCAGGCTGGCCTAGAACTCGCAGTGATCCTTCTGGTTCAGCCTCCAAGTGCTGGGATTACGATATGCATCCCCTCCCCTGCAAAAAAATTATCTTTTAAGATTGCAATTAGATTTTTTTTTTTCAATTAGATTTTTAAAAATGTATAGCCAATTAGTTCCAGCTACTTTGAAGGCTGAAGTAGAAAGATCATGGGAGCCTAGGAATTTGAGGGGAGCCTAGACAATATAGTGAGAACTTGTCTCAAAGAAAAGAGAAAAAGATGTTAAGATTCCTGGTCCGAACTGGGCGTATTGACATATGCCTATAATCTCAGCACTCAGTAGGCTGAGGCAATAGGCTTGCCTCAAGTTTAAGCCTGGGGTACATAGCAAGGTCAAGGCTAGCCTGAACTACATAGTGAGATCCTGTCTCGAAAAACAAAACAAAACAAAACAAAAAAACAAAAAGACTCCCGGCCCAGAGGCTGGCATACAAAATAAATTGTGGTTTTGGTGGGTTTTTTTGTTTTAGTTTTTGTTTTTTTTGAGACAGGATCTCACTATGTTGCCCAGGCCAAGTTTGACCTTGTGACGATCCTCCTGCCTCAGCCTCCCAAGTGCTGGGATTACAGGCGTGTGCCACCATGCCCAGCTCTGAATTATGTTTTGTTTTCATTTCTCTTACACTTGTTTCTCCATGCAGCCCAGCATTATCTGTTCTCTTCTTTCCCTTTTTTCTGTCCTATTTGCCTCCTGCTCCACTTCCACTCTTTCTTCATCTCCTCTGCTAAGTCTTCCCCTTAATTCCTTCGGCTTTCTGTTTGGCATTGTTTTTCTCTCTTGCTATGCTACTCCACAGGGTCCCGAGACCGAGCCCCAGCATCATTAGACTAAACCGGGGGCTGCGGGCCGACTGTTCGTGAGCCAAATCAAGCTCCAAAATTTATTTTCTTTGGCCACGGTGATGCTTACGCTTTTTAAAATTCAGATGTCCTTAAATGGGGCCTGGGCTTTCCAGTTTGCCAGAGCTGTTAATACTTTGTTGTATTTTTCCCTGTCTTTTTTACATGATATTAACAATGAGAGCTGGGCCTGGAGCATGCCTGTAATCCCAATACTTGGGAGGCTGAGGGAGGAGGATTGCTCCAAGTTTGAGGTCAGCCTGGGTTACATAGGGAGTTTGAGGCCAGCCTGAATTATGCCCAATATCCATATTATGCCTGAATTATGCCCAATTATCCACCCATCTCAAGACCTAGACTATAATCAATATCTTTATCTTTGCTCATATGGTCTCCTTTTCTCTTACTCCCTTGCCTTCCCATCAGAAGTGATCCATATCTCGAATCTTATTACTAATTTATCTTTTTTTTTTTCTAATGCTGCGATCAAACCCAGATCTTCGCACATGCTAGTCAAGCACTCGATCACCAACCCTTAGCAATTGCTTTCACACACTAGGTGTGGTGGTGCACATCTCTAATCCCAGCTAACTGGGAGGCTGAGGCAGGCAAGTTTAAAGCAGTTTATTGAGACGTTGTCTCAAAATAAAATATAAAAAGAGCTAAGGATGTAGCTCCATAGTAGAGTGACCCTGAGTTCAATCGTTAGCACCAGAAAAAAATTGTTTTAGTGTAAAATGTGCCTTACTTATTAAATATGTCTTATTTTTATTTCTGAGGTTTAAAGCAAGGACGTCATGTTATACAAAATTTTATATAACTTGTATTTTCACTCAACATTGCTTTTCACTTTTGTGTTGCAAATATAATCTGTTCATTCCATTATTATATATTATTATTATTATAATCTGTAAATTCCTTTCTGCTGATAGGTATTTGGGTAGTTTTCTTTCTTTGTTATTTGTTACTTTTCTTGTTGCTGAGACAAAATACCCAGCACCCAAAGTGAAAGGAGGAAAGGCTTATTTAGCTCACAGGCTATAGAGGTTTCAGTCCTAACTCAGCTGGCTCCCAGGCAGGGTGGCAAGGCAGAGGGACACTGCAGAGGAGAAATAGTTCATGGCTCCCACAAGATAGCAAAAGCAATAAGGGAAAAAGCCAAGCCTTTTCCTGTCCCTTATACTGTATGCAGGCTACCCGCCCTAGAGTGTAGCACTCACACCCTAATCCTAACCAGAACTATGCCAAACCAACCAGTTAGTAAATCAGTGGATTTACTAATCACACACCCTTGATCGCAGTATCACACACTCTAGAGTATCACACACTCTAGATTCAGCCACCTCTGAAAATCCCACCCCCTCATGACTGCATGAGGCTTTGGGGGGACATCTAGACATGAGCCAAAACAATTATTATGAGGAATACCACCATGAACAGTCTCGTATACAACTTCAGGGCACATTTGCCAGAATTTCTTCAGGGTCTAAACCTCAGAGTAGAATTGTGTTATAGTGTACTCAGGTTTGCACTTGCAAAATATGATAAATTGTTTTCTACTCCCATCTCAGTATCATATGAGTTCCTTCTGATTTATGTCCTCAACATTTTGTGACATCAGACTTCTCCTCTTCCTCCTCCTTCTTCCTCCTCCTCTTCTTCTTCTTCTTTCAGTACTAGGGATTAGACCCAGGGCCTTCTCCCTGAGCTCTATCACCAGGCCTTTTTTATTTTGAGACAGGGTCTCGCTAAATCACTAAGTTGCCCAGGCTGAGCTCCAACTTGTGATCTTCCTGCCTCAGCCTCCCAGAGTATAGGTATTCACACCACACCTGGCTCATTGTCATCTCAATTTGAATTATTGTTATTACAAATACACCTACATGTGTTTTCATATGTGCATTGACTCTCTGTGTTTCCTTTTCTGTGAAGTTTCTGTTCATGTTGTCACCCATATTCCTATCAGTTTTTTTGGAGATTTTCTTTATCGTCTTGAACATGTTTTTTATATATTCTGAATCCGAATCCTTTGTTGTTATATGTGTTGCAATGATTTTATCTCAATTTGTAGTTTGTCTTTTCTCCTCTCCTATGGTGTCTTTAAATAAATAGAATTTCTTAATTTTAAAAAATGAAGATTATTTATTGAAATATACATACAAAGCATATATTAAAGAACTTTTGAGACTTTAGTTGGAGTGACATTGAATCTAAAGATTGATTTTGCTGGGCATGGTGGCACACACCTATAATCCCAGCATGTGGGAGGCTGAGGCAGGAGGATCATGATGAGTTTAAGGCCAGAATTGGCTACAAAGTGAGTTCAAAGCCAGCCTGAACTGCATAGTGAAGCCCTGTCTCAAAAGGACCAAAAAAAAAAAAAAAAAATTGATTTAAAGAAAGCTGACATCTTCATAATATTGTCTTACTATCCACAAAAATTATTCCTCCTGTTTAATGTCTTTCAAAAAATGGTACAGTCGCTGGGCATGGTGGTGCATGCCTGTAATCCCAGCACTCAGGAGGCTGAGGCAGGAGAATCGTTGTGAGTTTGAGACCAGCCTGGGCTACAAAGTGTGCTCAAGGCCAGCCTGAACTGCATAGCAAGACCCCGTCTCAAAAAGACAAGAAAAAAAAAGGTACAGGCGCTCCATACAGGTTTTGTGAATATGTTAGATTATTTGTAGATGAGATTTATATTATTAAATTATTCTTTTCTTTCCCCAGACTCAGTCTCACTATGTAGTTTAGGATTGTGCCTAGTTTAGATTCTTTTTCTGTCTCTCTGTCTCTCTTTTTTTTTTGTGGTACCAGGAATTGAACTCAGGACCTTGTGCTTGCCAGGCAGGAACTGTGCCACTGAGCCATATCCCCAGCCCCCCTTTTTTTTTTTTTTTTGGTTTTTCTCTGGTACTGGGAATCGAACTCACAACCTTGCACTTGCCAGACAGGCGCTGTGCTGCTGAGCTAAATCCCCAGCCCCCCCAGCCCTTTGTTTTGAAACACCGTTTCACTATGTAGTTCAGGCTGGCCTTGAACTGGAACTTGTGGCAATCCTCCTGCCTCAGGTCCCAAATGCTAGGGATTAAGGGTGTGCGCCATACACCCTGCAGGCTAGGTTTTTTTTTTTTTGGTACTGGGAATCAAACTCAGGACCTTGTGCTTGCTACACAGGCCACTGAGCCACTGAGCTATATCCCTGGCCCTTATTCTATTTTTAAAATTAAAAAAAAAAATTTAAAAATAGTTTGTATCTGTATATGTGCTGGATTTGAGTTATTTGTCAGATATGCGTATTGTGAATATTTTCTTCCAGTCTATCACGTTTTTACTTTCATAATATTCTATTTTAATGAGCATGTGTTTTTAATTTAGACCAAGTACTATACAATTTATCAGTATTTTATTTATTTACTTATTTTTTAATTTATCAGTATTTGAATGGTTAGTGCTCTTTGGTCATATTTAAGAAATCTTGCCTACTCCAAAGAATGTCACCATTTTCCCCAATAATTTTTGCTTAGAAGCATTATTGTTTAAGGTTTTCACATTCAAGTATGTGGTTTATTTCACTTTCTGTGTTTCGTAAAGGTCAAGATTTTATTTTATTTTGTTTTCCCATATAATTACTAATTGCACCAGTATCATTTATTTTAAAAATCTTACTTTTCTCTTCCTGGTACCCACCCCCCGCAAAAAAAAACCTTACTTTTCTTGATGACTGGCTGTAGTATCTGTTTTGAAAATTATTTGTATAAAAAATTATTTGTGTGAGTCTATTTTTAGGCTCTTTTTTTTTTTTTTTTTTTTTTTTTTTAGGCTCTTATTCCTCTTTCTCTTCTTTCTTTCTTTTTGTTTTGTTTTTTATTTTGGTATTTTGAGACAGGGTATCACTATGTAGTTCAGGCCAGCCTTCAACTCACTGTGGAGCCCAGACTGGCCTCCAATTCAAGGTGATTCTCTTGCTTTAGCCTTCCGAGTGCTGGGATCATAGGCATGTGCCACCATGCCCAGATTTTGGGGTATTTAAAAATCTACTACAGTTTGCTAATGTTTTGTTTAGGAATTTTGAACTTATGAAAAAAATAATTTTGAACTTATGGCTCATAATTTTCTTTTGTTTTATTGTCCATGTGTAGTTTGAGAATCAAGGATATATTTGCCTTATAGACAGAGCTGAAGCATTTCTTTTTTATTTTTGTTTTCTATTATTTGGAAGGATTTGTATAAGATTGGTGTCTGTTTTTTGAAAGATCTGCCCTAAATGTATTTATTTGGTTTTGTTTATAGGAAGATTAACTACTGATTCCATTTTTTTTCATTTCTTTAATAGGACTATTTAGACTTTCTATTTCTTCCTGATTCAGTTTTGGTAAGATGTATATGTATATATATTTGTATGTCATTGTTGTTATTTAGTAATCATTGTTTGCATTTCAACATTATTGGCGTGGAATCACAGGTAGCATTCCTTTAATTCACTGCTCGTTCTATAGTTAGAGCCACCTTTCCTTCTAACTTTATTTGTGCTTTCGTTCTCTATCACTTTTCTTTTCTCTTTTTGAGACAGGGTTTTGCTATGCACTTCAGGCTGGCCTTGAACTCACTTTGTAGCTAAGGCTGGCTTCAAACTCACAGTGATCCTCCTGCCTCAGTCTCGTGAGTGCTGGGATTACAGACGTGCGCCACCACGCGGCTCTCTCTATCGCTTTTATCAAAGGGATTCTATTTGTCTGCTCCTAAAGCACAACTCTTGGCTTTATCAATCCTTTCTATCTTACCTTTATTTACTATTTCATTGATTTCATCTTTATTATATGCTTTCTTTTGGTTTGTTCTGTTCTTTTTCTAACTTCTTAAATTGGCTTAGCTCATTAATTTTCAGCTATTAAAATTTTTAATATACACATTTAAAATTTTTTATCTTGATTAATACATGTTTGCAGTACTAATATTACACTCATCATCAGAAGTTGGTACATGTGCCTGACTAACACATTTTTATTCTTTTTATGTCCTCTTTTCCATCCTTCCTTTCCCCCCTCTCCATCTCTTGGTCCCATTCCCATTTGCAAAAGATCTATCTCCCTGTTTCCTATTATCTTGTTTTGCTCCTTAATTCATTTATATCTGGATTTCTCATATAAGAGAAAACTTTTGATATTTAAGCTTTAGTGCCCGATTTATTTCATTTAATATAAAAGGTGCAACCATTTTCCTACAAATAACTCATTTATCTTTTTTTTTTTTTTGAGATAGGGTATCATGGGCTGGGGATGTAGCTCAGTGGCATAAGTGCCTGCTTGGCAAGCACAGGGTCATGAGTTCAATCCCTGGTACCGCAAAAAAAAAAAAAAAAGAGAGAGATAGGGTCTCACTATGTCACTATGTAGTTCAGGCTGGCTTTGAGGCTTTAAACTCACCATGTGGCCCTGACTGGCCTCAAACTCACAATGATCCCCTGCCTTGGCCTCCTGAGTGCTGGCATTACAGACATGTGCCTCAACACCCAGTTATTCTTTTTTTTGGGTGGTGGTGGGGTTTCCAGTACCGGGAATCAAACTCACGACTTCATGCTTGCCAGGCAGGCACTGTGCCACTGAGCTAAATCCCCAGCCCCCAACACCCAGTTATTCTTTTTCACGCAGAGTGTACTCCTCTATGTATAAACACCACATTTTCTTTATTCATTCATCTGTTGATGGACATAGAGGCCATTTCCAAGATCTAACTATGGTGAATTATGCTGCTATGAACATGAGTATGCATGTATCATACTCTTTCAGGAAGATACCTAGAAGGGGAATAGCTAGTTGAATACAATATAAACACTTTTTTTTTTTTTTTTTTTTTTTTGGTACCAGGAATCAAACTCAGGACCTTGTGCTTGCCAGCAGGTGCTTGTGCCACTCAGCTATATCCCCGGCCCAATATAAACATTTTAAGGCTACAAACTGCCCCCCTTTTCTGTCTTTTTGAGACAGGGTCTCACTACGCAGTGCAGGCTAGTCTTGAACTCCCTTTGTAGCCCAGGCTGGCCTTGAACTCACAGAGATCCTCCTGCCTCAGCCTCCCGAGTGCTGGGATTACAGATGTGCACAACCAAGCCCGGCCAAACTGCCTTTTGAATACCACTTTGGGTATCTTTCACATGTTGTGATCCTTTCTTTTTTTTTTTCCTTTTCCTGTTTTGGTTGTACTGGGGTTTGAATCCAGGGCCTTCCCACTGAGCTTTTTTATTTTGAGAAAAGGTTCTCCCTCAGTTCCCTAGGCTGGGCTCAAACCAGTGAGCCTCCTGCCTCAGCCTCTGAGTCTGGGATCACAGATGTGAGCCACCACACTCAGCTAATCTTCTGTGTCTTGATTCTTCCACTCAACATTATGTTTGCAAGATATATCCATATTGTTAAGTGAGACGTGGTTTGTCCATTTGTATTGAGTAGTATTTCAGTGCATAATATATTACAGATTCTTTATCCAGCCTACTAAAGAGGAACATCTGGGTTATTTGCTAAGATCTCGATGATACAGATTATTTGACACTGGTCTGGGGGTATAGCTGGGCTGGGGGTATAGCTCAGTGGCTTAAGCACTTGCCTCACAAACCTGAGGTCATGAGTTTAATTCCCGGTACAAAAAAAAAAAAAAACCCAAACATTACTTGACATGTGTCAAAATTTTCCTTATGACCTAATATGTGGCTGGTTTTTGTAATGTTCCATGATGATTTGAAGGAAACAGGAAAAATTCTCTAAAGATCAGGCGCAGTTTATGAGTATTTTTACTCCCTGTAACCTTAAACCTAGACTGCCTCAGTTTATTACATTGCCTGCCTGGCTGCTATACATTCAGGATAAATCATTCAGGATAAATCTTTTCTAAGGCATTTTTTATAGAAAGCCTGACATACTGTGTACACACATATCAAAATGTCACACTGTACTCCCATGACTATGTAAATTACTATGTATAAATTTTAAAGTATTTTTAAAAAGGAAAGAGCCTGTATTTACTGCAGCAGAGCAATGGTCTGAACAGCAGGAATGGTCCCTGGCTATTGCAAGTGGAATATCCCAGACGTGTAGGGAAGGGTGGAAGGTCTGGATTTGAAGAACAGCCAAGCACTGGCCAGGAGGGGAGGGAGGGTGGGGGAAGACGGATGAGGGAGCCCTCTGCATGTGGACTCTTGCGTGATTCTAGGGCCAGGGCTCCTGCCACCCATCCGCGGACTCTCTGGGCCACGCGACTACCCACATGCTTTGCAAGTCTGTATCTATGAGTGGCATCAACTGCCTCCTGGACTACTCGGATCCAGAGGGTGAGCAAAAGTGGGGAGCAAAGCAGAGGACCTCTTTCCCCAATCCTCCTCACCCCAGGTCCTCAGAACCAACTGCTTAGGGTCCAGATGTCCTAGGTTCTCTCCAACCACACACTCTTGGTGTCCCCAAAATGCCTTGATTCAAGTGAGATCTTAATTCGGGACTCTGACTTTCTAAGACTGCCGTCGCTGGAGCTTATATTATATATAAGTTTATATTATATTCACATTTATATTTATTTATATTATATTCACATAGTTTATATTATAATATATATTTCACATTTATATTATAGTTTATATTATATTACAGTTTATATTATATTAATTATAATATAATTATATCAATTATAATATAATTATGTATTATATATTACATTATAGTTTATATTATATTATAGTTTATATTATATTCACATAGGACAGAATGAGGTTCTCCAGCCTTCTCTGTCACTAGAGGTGGAGGATCGTTCCCTCTCAAGATAGAGTATTGGGAATTCAGCGTGGAACTTCGGCCCACCCCACGCACCTGAGACACAGCCAAGGCACCAGCCTTCCCCTTCACAGAGCCCTGGTCCCAAGTGCTTTAGCTCTGCTCCACTCAGACCCCGCCCTCTGTCCCTGCTCCCTAGCACCCGCCCTCAGGAATGGCGTCACAGGCACCTGCAGCCTGGGAACCTGATCCAGGTGGAGGGGGTGGGGGAGGCAGCCCTGGGCGCCTTTGTCTGGCTTTAGCTAGACCTGGACACTTCTCTTCTCCTTTTGTATTGGCAGGGAATTTGTCCCAGTCCTCTGCCACTGACCTCAGCACTCGGTGAGTTTGGGGGACTCAGAGCCCTTCAGAGGCATAGACGGGGGAGGAGTGATGGGTCTGTGTCACAGATTTTATAGCCCCAAGGGTCTCTCTGCTTCCTGAGACAGTTTCCCTTAATATTTCTGATTAAAGACCTCCGAGTAGCCTCCTGTCTGAGCTGCGCAGAATTTACCCTCTTCCTGAGCTTTGAGGTGGCCCCAAGGGATGGGGCGTGAAACTAGGGAAAAAAGGAGAAGCCGGCGGGCAGAGTCAGTGACACAGGAGAGGAGGTGCCGCTCACTGTTGGCAGTGACATAATGGTGAGCGGATGAGCTGTGATGGACCTGTGCGGCAGTCTTGGTTGGGGCTCTGGATGGCTGAGATACTTGACCAGTGGACAGTGGCCCTAGGAGAGCGATGCCAGGCCTATAGAGCTTCCGGAGAGGGCAGGGCCTGGAGGTGTAGTTCAGGAGTCAGAAGGGAGGCCAGGAGATCACACTAACCGTGTAAACAAGCATGCAAAATCAGCACCTGTTTATTTGGCTCCTATGGCTGAGGCCCGAGCGGGGGCAGCACTCTAACGCCCTGTGGCTGTGTGACCAAGTAGTGGGCCCTTTAAGATAACAGGCTCTGATTTGTGGTCCTGAAATTCTCCAGCTGACACATCCTCCTGGCTCTAGGCTTGGGATTAGCTCATGGGATGGGGCTGATGAAATCCCAGGAAATTCAGTCCTTACTGGCTTTAGGCCCAGAGGCCCTTTCCAAACAGCAGAGGGTCGCACACAGGGCTCTTGTTCTGAGAGGGGAAAATGCCCCCACTGGCGGGACCTCACCCAGTTCCACTTCCGCTGGGGAGCAGGGAGAGAGGAGATTGGGCCCTCTGGTCCAGTCCGTTCCCATCCGGATCCTGGGAGCCTGGATTAGGTAGGAGGGCGAGTCTGCATGGATCTGGGAGGAGCCTGGAGTTTTCCTCATAAGTAAAGGGGCTTGCAAAGCTGAAGCGTCCACATCCAGGCTCTCGGAGGTAGGGGTTGTTTTTCTTTCTATCCTTCCTCTCTTTCCCTCAGAGCCTGTCTTCCCATATCCATTCCCTGTCTGCTGGGCAGGACAGCTCCTCCGCCACCTCTCCAGAAAGAGCCTCTTCTTCTTTTCCAGCTCCCTCCTCACCTCTTCTTTTGCTCTCTGCAGCTGCAGCCGGCTGGAAGGGGGATCGGGCACCTGGGCAGGCTCCTCCCTGCGACGGACCTTCAGCTTCCTCTTGGGCATGACCGGCAAAGCCAAGGTAGGAGTCGGTGGAGGAAGCAGGAGGCCCAGACCCTTCCCAGTTCCTTTCTTCTGAATCCTACCATGCCACCCCTCCCTAACTGTCCCCATCAGAGACTCAGGGCAGTGACTCAGAATGTAAGAGAACACGTGCTATCTCTCCCACCCTGTATCTGTGTCTCAGTAAATCATCTTTTCTCTGCTTTTCTGAGTCTTCAGTTTTAGCAGACAGCTGTGAACAGCTGGAAGAGGAAAAGGGCAAGCAGTCTCAGAAGCTGAGGAATGACCTAGTCCTCCCTCACTTTAGGCTTCATGTAGCTAAGAGGTGGGCAACAGGAGGTAATAATTATAGTAATACCTTTTTCTTCACGCAATATTAGAGTTTGCAAAATGCTTTTACACTCGTAATTTTATGGGTGGATACAGCAGCTGAAGGAGTTGAAATGAGCCCATAGGCACTGTTATAGCTAGGAACGTATATTATTATAAAGCACATGCACACGGTACATGTGTGGCCATGTGCATTCCGACCCCAGGGAGTGGAGACACACTGCTCTTTTCCTTGTCACCAACTCTCGGCTCTGGTGAAGCCAGCAGCTCTGCCTGCAGCTTGAATTCATTTCCACTTACTTTATTTACTGGCAGAAGGAGCCACCCCCTTTTCCTCTAATAGTTCCCCCAAGTATGCATGTGCTTTCCAACCCGGGCAGCTTCTGAGCGCTAAGAGAAACTCGGAGAAGATACCACCCTCTTCACCTGAAGAGCCATGCGATTCTCCCTGCAAGTGAGGTTGCCTTGAGCGCATCCCCCAAACCCCGGCTACAGCCTCTGAGCCCGGATTCCCTTCTTCCGGGTGGGCTGCAAGCAAGTCTTGTTATTGGCACCTTCTCCACACAGGCCATGGGTGAGGAGCAGAGGCAGGAGACAGGGCTGTCTCAGATGAGCAGTTGGAGAATCTTAGAGAGCTGGACTTGGGGAGGGAGGGAGGGCAGGAAGGAGTCTCCTCTCTTCTGTGGAGCAAAGACCTCTAGAAAACAAAGCAAACCCAGAGCCCCTGGAGTCAGAGTCCCCTCTGCCCACAGACACTGTCGGCTGGGGAAGGACAGTCTGCTGGGGGAACTGTCCTCTTTCCCGCAGTGGGAATGCTAGAGAAAGTGGGTGCTGCCGAGGGGGCATTCAGGTCAGTGTGCTTGCTCACCTTTGGCCTTGTTAACACAGCCAGGCTGGAGGTTAAGTGACCTGGCCCAGGGGAACTCAGGCAGCTGTGTGGTGCCCACACAGTGACAGGAAAGAGCCTGAGCGGCAGTGTGAGCAGAGCAGTGAGTGGGCCCTCCCTCAGCAGGGTCACTGGTCCCGTTTCCCTCTCTGCCATCCCCTGGCCCACCCTCCTGTCACCCTCACGAATGTAGACGCCCACTTCACTTACTCTCTCCCGGCCCTGAGGCTGGCAGGTAAACACCAGGGTGGGGCTGGCAGGAAGCTGTCAGGCAGCAAGAGAAGGAAGTGGCTCATTCCTTCCCACTAGACCTGCATCACACAGTTGGCAAAACACTATCCCAGAGGTCATCTTGCTTAATTCTTATAACAACTCAGGCAAAGATAAGTATTTTAATCTCCGTCTTACAGACAAGATAACATACAGACTCCGTAGCTTGCCCAAGATCTCACAGCTAGTAAGAGGAGGGGCTCTGCCACCATGTTGCCTCTGCCTCTCAGTCAAGCCAACACCCCAGGCCACCCCTCCTTCTGCCACCAGCTTCTCTGCCCTGGTGGTAGTTATGCCTCAATTACCCCTCCCAGAAAGGGGCCAGGTCCAGAGTAAGGAGAAGAAATGCAGACCTCTGCCGGACAGGGCAGAGCCAGGGCCCTGGCAACTCTGGGGCTCTTGCTGCTCACTCACTGCCAAGCCTATGGCAATCAGGTCCTTTCCTGGAACTTCCTCTCTAGCCCTGAACAAAATTTCTCCCCGACCCTGGGATCCTTCATACTGGGGATTGAGTGCAGGGCCTTGTGCACGCCAGACAAGCACTCTACCACTACTTCATCCCCAGCCCTCTGGCCCTGAAGTGGGAGGACCACATTGTCGAGTTAAAAGGGCTAAAGAAGGTGGTGGCCACTTTTAGTTTCTGGAAGACATTGTTGCTTTTGTGAATATAAAAATAATTTCTGAAAATCTGGAAGATATTACTGGGGAGGACTGGAAGGGGAGCTGGAGCAAAGGGGAATCACTAAGGAGAGAGGGTTCACTGTTCCAGAAGTTCAGAAACTGGAATTAGAGTCCAACTTAGCTGAGTACAGGTGTTTTTAAAGGTAATTTTCTTTAGCCTCCTCCTCTTCCATTCCCTTTTTATTAAGCTCTTAAAAGGAGGGCACAGGGTGAGGGGCAGCATAATGAACAGCAGCTGGGATGGACAGTGAACTAAAGATTTGGAGTGGGAGACAGGAAAAGGCTAGGAGAGTGAAATATGTCCAGTGTGTGTGTGTGTGTGTGTGTGTGTGTGTGTGTGCGCGCGCGCGCACGCATGTGTGTGCACACGCACGCATGCGTGTAGGTTCTGGTGATTGAACCCAGAACCAACATACTGAGCTACATCCCCAGCCCTTTTCCATGTTTTGTTTTGAGACAGCGTCTTGCTAAGCTGCCCAGGATGGACTAGAACTTGTGGTTCTCCTGCCTTAGCCTCACAAAGTACAGGGGATTACAGATGTGTGCCACCATGCCTAGCTTTCATTTCTTTCAATAGAGATACTTTGTGTACTAAAAAATTCCTCAGAGGCTAGTTCTTAAACTAGATTTATTGGGTACCCAGGTGGAGTCGGGCCCTTTAAGATTCTATCCTCTGCTTTCAGCACCCTCCACCTCAGGCCTAGGAGAAAAACTGAGGTCCCAGCCCAAACCTGGTCTCAGGGTCCCCAGTGGGTGGAGCCACAAGGCCAGGATTCTGGCCTCAGGCTGCCTGTTTTTAAATTTAGTACATTCCTCAGCCTTGGCTGACCACAGAGGGGGAGGTAAGTCTGGGGTTCTGGAGCCAGGAACCTCCGACTGCTGGTTTTAGGGAGTTGTCTGACTTCTCCACAGGTCTCCCCTGCAGGTGCCAGCCTGGAAGAAGCAGCTTTGGCCCTGGGAAAGTCCTTTCTGATTCTAATTGTCCTCTGGCCTGGAATGGACTTGGTTTATTTCCTCTCCCCTTTTTCTGGCATTTGCTATATAAGGTTCTTAAACAGGAGAATAGGTGAAGGTGAGGCTGGAATTGCTAGGTGGGAGGGGAAGCCAGAGGAGCAGCGTGCGGGTGGCGCCCGGGGTGAGGAGCCCAGCCTGCTCAGCCAGTGGTGAGGCAGTGGAGCCCGAAATAGAGGCAGAGGCTAAAATTGGCACCTACAAGAGTGCTGAGTTGGGCTCAAAACCTTCAGCCCATTCTGCTGCTCCGCTGGGGCAGGGAGCTGGTGGATGGACCTAGGTTACCCTCACCCACACCTTTTGGGACCAGAATCCGGCTGGACCGTGCAAACAGAGCATGCTTTGTCCCAGCCCTCTCAGAGAAATAAGAGACCCCCAGAAGCGGAAATGAGAAGCAATGTGAGTGACTGCAGTTAGAATGCAGCAGCAACTTTCCCAATAGCAGGATCGCCAACCGTGAAGGTTGGCTCAGCGTTCGGAAGGATCAAAGCCCCACCTCTGGGGTTTTCTGTGGAGAGACTAGGCCGTGTCCTAAGTGCTTCCACCAGAAGGGCAAGCTGTTTTCCAGTCGCTGGTTCCAGCTTGGACTTGGAACAGCAAGAACAGAGGTTAAACACCTGAAAGACAGCCTTCCTCAGCTTCCTAGCTTGCAGCAAAGGTGGCAATTCCCCCCGCCCCCCCCCCCCCCCCCCAGACGGCAGGGGCGGAGCTAGGAGGAAGATGGGCAGAGTGCGGACCAGCCCGGTCGGGGGCTGTGGGAGATTTGTCTCCTCGCTATTCCTTGACTTCTGGGAGCGAATCCTCTCCATCAGACCTACGAAAGCCCCAGCTTTTAGTTGCTCTGTGATCTCCCCTCTCTCGCCACCCCTCCCCCAGTCATAAAAGAGGTCTATCGTTGCCCGCTTTGATGGGCCCTGAAGGCCAGGAAGGAACTGGCCCCTGGTTCCCTGGAGAGTCGGGCGGATGGAATCCTCCTCCGGCCCGCGGGTCTTAGAGACTGAAGTTGCACGGTGGGGGAGGGGAGGGAGAAAAGAGGCCTGGGGACCCTTGGGTTTCGGAAAAGCAGAACTAAGAGGTGGGTTGCTGGGGCTAGAGGGCGCCTCCAGACACTAGGGGAAACAGGCAGAGGGGCTCCTCAAACCTGTCCAGGGACCCCGTCCTTCTCCAGGCTGCCCCAGAGCAAACCCTGGCGTCCCGTGCGCGCCGGCAGCTACCCGCCCTCCGCTCCGCCTCCCCCCTTCCTGAGCCCGGGCGGGCGGGGGAGGAGACTAGGGTTTGAGGAACTGGCGCTGGGTGCCGACAAGGGGAGTCAGACTTCCTGTCCCCGACACCGACGCGTGCGGCCGGACCCCTCCCCTCCCCCACCACGCGGGACCCCGAGGTCCACGCCGTGCGCCCCGGCTCCTCGCCTCGGATTATGTCTCGGATCGAGTCCCTCACGCGGGCGCGGATCGACCGGAGCAAAGAGCTGGCGAGCAAGGTGGGCTCCCGGGCCCCGCCCCGCCCCTGCCCCGCACTCCCCTGCCCCGCACGCCCCCGACCCCGCTCCCGCCGCGCGCCCCTTGTCTCCGCCTGCTTCCTGGGCGCCGAGCCGCCGCCGAGGGAGCGGGATGGGGGGTGGGGACTGCGAGCCGCCGCGAGGGGGCCGGGGCGGACAGCGACCGGCTCAGCGCGCAATCGGTGGCGAGACCCCGGAGAGGCGGACCCAGGCTCTGGGCGGGCGCCTCGGATCCGGCAGGACCGGGTGTTTGGGGCCGCTGGGAAGAAAGTTGTTCGGGTAAGGGACGGAGCGGGAAGAGGGAGGCGCGCGCACCAGTCGGCGCGTGGGAGCTCGCCGCACT